TATATATATATAAGTTGAGGTGGAATAAAGCAAATATCATTACCAAAAGAAAAAAATATTCTAAAAAATATCTAAATATAAAATTATAATTAATTAACTTTATAAAGTTAAAAACGTAAGTGATGATTTGAACATTGAGAGACTTAAACTAAAGTAGGGCCAAAATATAAAAGGTATATTGTATTTTTTTTCTTACATTTTTTAACTATAACTTGCTAACCTACAAAAAATGTACATAAACTACACAATAAGTAAGAAAAATGCAATTATAAACTATAAAATAAAATTTAACTAGAATATTTTTTCCGACACAAAAATTACCAACTTCTAAGAAACTCAAAATTTGATGTCCCTACATTCCATATATATTGAGAACTAGCGAGAGAGTGAGAGGGAGGTAGCAAAAAAGTGGAGGTGGGAGGAGAGGGTAAAAGGGAGTGGAAACGAGAGTGGAAGTGGGAGAGGGAGAGGGAGGAAGTAATAGGTGAGAAAATGGGATGGGAGGAGGGCGGTTTAAATAGTCGGTGGTACGTCACAACCAAAACCACCCAAAGCAAGTTTCACTTCATAACCTGATAAGGAAAAGGTGAAGTGCACATCTCTTATAATTATATATGGGGTAATATGTATGTACACTACTAGAATATTCAACACTAAACAAATATACACATCTTGTACTAATTTGAAAGGTAATGAAAAGAATTATATGCGATCCCTATTCAATCAAAGCCCTAGCACAGCTGAGAGCTATCATATATGAAGAGCACAAGTTCTTAATACCTTTTCAGCAAATGGTTTTCTGGGTTTCTTACAAGGAAGCACTCCATGCCCGCCTAAATCTGTCTCTTTTAGTGAAGATAACCTAACATCCAATCAACAATATTCAAGTTGGATCCTCATTGGTCAAAACCTGACCGCAACATTGCTTTCCATTATTTGTTCTGAAATTTTGCCTTACATGCTCCACCTATCCAGCATCATTGAAATTTGAAGTACCTTAGCTAAACGTCTCCAACCAACAAATAGATCGAGGCTTATTTAGTTGAAAAACGAGCTCCACAACCTTTCGATCAATACAAAATCCATGACTCAATACCTTTTTGCCATCAAAACTCTGGTGGATAATATATTGGCAACAGGAGGACATCTAGATTGAGATGATATCATCATATACAAGTTGAACGGACTGCCATCGAACTATCAAGCATTCAGGAGACCTATTCACACACAATTACAACATATTGAGCTTGACAACTTCTATGTCATATTGTGCAGTGAGGAAATCAATAAAGCCCCCGATCAACACAAATTGGGGATCTCGGCTAACCTGCAAATGGCAATGAATGCCTGCCGAGGACGACAAAACAACCCATCACGTGATCATGCAAGAAATAAGCCACTTACATCTACACGATCAAAATCAAGCCGCATTTCAACCCTCTCTCCAGTTGTCTGCCAAATATGTAATAAATTAGACCATTCAACTGTGAACTGTTGGCACCGTTCGAACCTCGAATAGACACCCACCAACAGGAAATTAGAAGCAGAATTGTCATGGGTTCTTGATTCTGGAGCAACAACTCACCTTACGACAAACCTCAATCAGCTGCAACTAGCCACACTAACTGAAGGATCTAAAAAAGTTCTTGTGGGAAATGACCAACCCATAGAGGTGAAACACACAATAAATGGTATTCTTTCTACACTAAATCACTCCATTTGCCTTTCTTCTATATGCCATGTACCATCCCTTTCCCATAATTTACTCTTCATTTATAAACTAATTGAGGATAGTAACATTGCTATTATTTTTGTAAATGTGATTTTTTCTACTTCGTGGCCCTAGCTCCAAGGGGCTTTAAATGATTCTGACCTCACACTAACATCAACCTACTTCTGGTACCCATCAAACTTTGTCTACCTCCATACAAACATCTACATTATGACACAAAAGGCTTGGACATCCTCATCCAGACACCCTACATCATGTCTCCAAGTCTCAACCGACACTTGGAATCAATTATCATTTTTCTTTATGTAATAGTTGCTAATTTAGCAAGATTCATAAACAACCTTTCCCATCAAGTTCCTCCACCATGTATATACCTTTACAACATATACACTCAGATGTATGGGGTCCATCCCTAATATTATCAAATCAAGGTTTTCATTATTATGTGATTTTTATTGATTACTACTCTAAATTTTGTTGGCTATATCCCCTCAAACATAAAACTGAACCATCACAAATATGTTTTCAATTCCTCAAAATGGTTAGTAATTAAATCAATACAACCATAAAATTTCATAGTTGGCTATATCCCCTCAAACATAAAACCGAACCATCACAAATATGTTTTCAATTCCTCTAAATGCTTAGTAATTAAATCAATACAACCATAAAATTTCATATCTGATATCAACAGTGAATACATCAAATCTAAACTCAAATAAGCATTTCATCAACAAGGAATTATTCACTAATTTTCTTGCCCATATACACCCCAAAAAAATGAATTGGTTGAATGTAAATATCGTCACTTAATCGAGACCACCTGAACCCTATTGCATGATGCGTCACTTTCACTCAAATTCGGGCTTAAAGCACTTCTTACCGTCATTTACCTCATCAACTGCATTCCGTTCAATCAGTACCAAATCACTAGTTGACCTTCATACCGTTCAATCACTTCCAAACGAAACGACTATGTTAGAAACATAAATTTTTGGGTATTGAAGTCTCAAGGAAAACACACTCAATATTTCTGAGTCAACATTACCTTGCCAACATCCTTTTAGAGATGGCTATGACGAGATGTAAACCAGTCTCCACCCCTCTTCCAAGTAAGAAACTTGAAACACCAAACACTACATCACTTTTGGACAATCCTGCAAAATACAGGAGGGTTGTGGGCGCTCTACAATACCTCACAATTACAAGATCGGATCTCTCTTTTTTGATAAATTAATATGCGAACATATGCATAAACCTATAATATCTCACTTCCAATTACTTAAATGCCTCGTCCGCTATCTACAAGGCACACTTGACTATTGCATCCTCATCACACGTGGAGAACTTTTTCAAACATTCTCAGATGCTGATTAGGTTGGTGATGTGGTGAACCACAAATCTACTACTGGGTTCTGTTCTACACTTGAAAAGACTCCTATCTCTTGGACAGTGAAGAAACAACAAACCGTAGTAAGATCATCAACGGAAGCAGAATAATGTGTCTTAACCTCAACTATAGCAAACATAATATGGCTTCGTCATCTTCTAATGGAGCTCGGGGTTCCTCGATCCCAACTGAGAATGGTACTTTGCGATAATATATCGACCATGACACACGCCAACAATCCGGTCTATCTTGCAAAGATAAAACATATCGAAATTGACTATCATTTCATTTGGGACCATCTTCCAAATATAGATTCAATATATTCCTACCCAGGACCAAACAGGTGACATTTTCACTAAAGCACTTACTAAACCAAAGTTCAATTACTTTAGATCCAAGATTCAGGTTCTTTCCGAGATCTATCATCTTGAAGGGATCACAACGGCAAGTTCCACTACACAACCTGACATGGAAAAGGTGAAGTGCATCTCTCATAACTACCTAGGTGTAATTAGGTAATATGTACTTACAACTAGTAGAATATTCAGCACTCAACACATATACTCATCTGGTACTATTCTGAAAGGTAATGAAAAGAATTATCTGCAATCCCTATTCTCCTCCTGCTTTAATATATGCCAATTTTTTTTTTTAAAATATTAATTCAATGTAGTTGCGCATTGTTTGTCGGATTTCTAAAAAGAAATCATGTTCATGTAGCACAATTTTATTTTTAAAAATTTAATTTAAATTATTAAGCAATATTTTAAATTTCTTATATTTTAAAATTTTGCAAAAAAATATTACTATAAAATAAAATTTAGACAAAGTGAGTCTCTTAGAGGGCTGATGTTTCAGGTAATCATATCATTTGCAAGGATCATGTTGAGTTCGATTCATCCGAGAATCGAAATCCTGGGAAGAATTCCAGGCTCAAATATCTTTTGCAACAAAAGACAATATCCGGTTGCTTCCTTAGTGCCAGGCCTTCTGATATTTCATATTGGCACATCCTTCCTTTGCTTCCTGAATGCTAATTTCACCAAAGAAAGGTACGTTACATACATCAACACATTAGAAGGATGGAAGCAAAGCGAGGTACAACAAACGTTACATACAGCAACACATTAGAAGGATGGAAGCAAAGCGAGGTACAAAAACATATAAATTTTATGCCTAAAATAAACCATAACTATTTATGTAACAGAATCGGAAGCTATGTGATGGAAGATGAGAAACTACACAAAGACAACAATGAAGAAAAAATCAAATACGTAGTTATTGAGATGTCAAGTAAGAACTATAAACAAAGTATTAGTATTTCATATTCCATCATCTCTCCTTTACCGATGACTTGAACTTGTTACAGATGTCAGACAACAATGAAGAAAAAATCAAATTTGTAGTCATTGAGATGTCAAGTAAGAACTATAAACACAGTATTAGTATTTCATATTCCATCATCGCTCCTTTACCGATGACTTGAACTTGTTACAGATGTCATGAATATTGATTCATCCGGGATCAGAGCAGTGGAAGAAATACATAACAGTCTTGAATCTCTTGGCATACAGGTGAGATTTATGAGTTGAGAGATTGCTAAAATTTTATGCTAATCGGATTGTACTAAGCAATAAGTAATTGTATCTTAATTTGTTATAGATGGCAATAGTCAATCCTGGATGGCAAGTGATTCACAAAATGAAACTGGCTAGGCTCGTGGAGAAGATTGAAGTTTCATGGATATTTCTTACTGTAGCTGAAGCTGTGGAAGCTTGTCTTAGCTACAAGGAAGATAATTATAGCGCTTGATTAGAGTTCTGCCCACTTTCCAAATTCCAATGCTCTTTTTTCTAATCCCATCTTACATACAGATTCCTATGGTGCATGGAAAGTTTATTGAGAAAATTATGGAAAGTGACGCATTACTGTTTCCATTCAGCAAAACCAGATTACTACTAATTTTGTAATAAAGGCTGTGTGCACTGCTTTTGGGACTACTATGTTTGTATGTCTTTTGAATCATTATCCTTCGATTTCATATATGAAGCTTCACTGTAGTTTGCATGTTTGGTGTTTTATTTTTTCGTGAACTTGAAACCATATAATGATTATGTACCAAAATATTTAGATTTGGCTCTCTCAAAAAGGAGCGTTTATTACATCAGAATGTCGTAGGTATGCCTCATAGCATTTTAGGTGTTATTGTACTATAATACCGCCACAATACTACCAATAATATTTAAAATACTACCATCCACACCTAATCCAGATGCAGCATATCCGAATGTAATAATTTCTCGCCAAAAAGAGCACATGCCATGAAATTCCAATATAGTTGCATTATAACAAAGGTGTGATAATATTCACTCCCACACCATTAAAAATTCTCAACAACATTATAACTACCACAAATTTTTTTTTTCGTAAACTTGAAACCATATAATGATTATGTCACCTCCATTCTATATTATTTTTCTAAGAAAAAATATAAGTCTTGAAAGTGCATCCTGTTATAATTTTTGTCTCATTTAGTATCCATTCTATATTATTTTTCTAAAGAAAGCTATTTGTAGGACAATAATAAAGTTTAGAAAATGAGATCACATGAAGACAAAAGAACAAATATAAAAAGATATCAAAAGCAAAATATATAAATTTGGATACTTAAAGGAGTTCTTACTACATCCACCTTCGCTAAAAAATCTAATATTCTACTATGTTACAACATAGGAGTAAATAAAAGAGTCCTTTTCATATATTTTTTATTTTACATCAATTACCTTTTTTTCCCTTACTAAAGAATTAGTCTTTATTTTTTATATATGCTATGAGTGCTTCTCTCTAGTATGGCCAAAATCTGCACCCCCTCCCCCTCTCTTCATTTTCTCTATTTACCTGTGATTTTGTGACATATTTTTCTTCTGTTATTATGAAGCAACAAATGGTGATAGGCAATGAAAAATTAGATACAAATATGATATTGAGTTTTTAAATTTGTTGAACCTGATTCTAAATTTATAAGGAACATGTGCTGTACAAGCTTAATTAAAGGGTGTAATGTATCATATATATAGATAGATATATATAAATTCATTAAGTGCGTTCTATACTTTATAGTATTTTTATTTTGCTCTACATTTTTTTCTAATAAAAAGAAAAGGGCGTCTCTTATTGTACAAGAAAAAAATCATATTTTATTAGTATTTTTCACATTCAAATCATAATGAAATTTATAACAACAAAAAACAAATTACGTGTTAATTAGGGGAGCATGTATTAAATTCTAATGTGTTTTATACATTGCTTTGTTTTTCATTTTACTCTCTATGTTTTCATAGGTTATGTACTTTTATATATCTAAAAATAGTTGGCATTAGAGACTTTAATTCTTATTATAAGCAATTACTAGAGAAAAAAATTAATGCTAAGAACCACCAAAACAAATGAATTTGACTTTATGTTTTGGAGGATGCAAATATATACAAGATTATATGCATAACAATTACATTCACATGTATTATAAATGAAAAACATGAGGCTTTAGAATATGATAAGGGGAATCTTCTTCATGAAAATTTTTTAGGTGTAATCTATTGGGTGTTCTTAGTGATGTCAGGTTTAAAATGAATGAAACAATTTGAAATATCTTGATGGTCAAACTTTTCTAAGTTAACTTGCAACTTGATTTTGGTTTGGTAACTTGATTATGAAGAGCATAGTATGAATTCTAACAGTGATGTTCAGAAGTCACTAAGGGATCTATAATGGGTGCATTTTTCCCTAATTACTGACTTCCCCTCCTATATGAAAAATGATAAAGCAAACTATCAATCATCTACAGGTGAAACCTGTAATTCCTTATGCTTTTCATACCTCACGACAAGCCCTTTGGTCAAACATAACATATAGAAGTGGTGAGTATGATTCTACTAATTGAATATACTACTAAAATTTATATTAGAACTCGAACTATCAGAATAAAGTGAAAGATAAAAAAAAATCTCCTAAATGACTTCAATATGCATACCACAAAATTTGTTAACTCATAAAATCTTAGAAAGTGATACACTAAATTTGCATGGATGTATCCCAAATTAATTCGTTTATTCAACTGTTTAGCTTCCAATTCACATTAATGTTTTTGTTTGTAATAATAAATCTATGTCAAATACATTGCCATATTATTCTTCATTTCTTACAATAAAAATTAAATACTAAAATATAAAGTGGTTGATTCAAAATTTAATCCCCTCTCAGCTTAAACATGTCTTTTCCTACTTTTGAAGCAATGACATGAGTACTTTCTTATGAGTTAGAAGGTTAGCTAGATAAATAGACAAGTGCAAAATTTAAATATTAACCCCCCGTTTGTTTTGGTTTTTTGAACCAATTTTTTAACCAAAACACGATTTTATGGCATTTGGCTCGTCCGCTTCCATCGTATTGGCCTGGAATACCATTTCGCAAATGAACACGAGTTTGAACGCTGCTAGCGAGGTTCGTCCAGCAGTTCGCAAATACAAATTAGCATTAGTACCCCTCGCATTATCTTTCGATGCCTTGACCACCTTTCTTCCTCGTGCCCTAGTGCTTTGCCTCCTTTGTTCTCTCTCGAGACAGAGTGTTGTGGACTTCTCCATAGGTAATATTTCTTTTCGTTTCAGTTGTCTTTTGTTTCTGATGATGGAGCAAGACTAGCTACCATCTCCTTCTCCCCTGATCGCGATTATTATTAATATTATTTTTATTTCATTCTTATGTTAGATAGGGAAGAGAAATTGGCTAGTGAAACCTCATGCAATTTAATTGATTTCCATGTTTCTCCTGTACTTTATCGTTCACACAAACAAGAATGTTATTGGGTTTTTCTCTATTGGCCGAAAATTTGAAGGACACATGAAATCCTAAAGTTTTTATTACTTGGGCTTGCTTACATAGTAGTGTACTCTTTTTTTGATTTCCTTATGAACTTACTGAGTGGAATCTCATGCAAATTTCTTGGTTATTTTCTAGTGTATAAAAACTTATGGCACATACAGCGTCCTAAAGAATATGTGCTTTTATGAAATAATGAAATCATTTGCCTTTCCTTACGAAATTGTTTATGAGGTTGTTTATTACTCGGGGCTTGCCTTTGATGTTGTTAATGAACATGATGAGTGGAACCTCATGCATATTTATTGAGCTGCTTATTCCACAAATGAATTGCTAAAGAATTTGCATATATATGAAATAATGATATCATGCTTTGGGCTAGAACATTCATTGTGTGTAAAATGATGATGTGAATTGAGTAATGGTGTTAGGTTGTTATTTATCCATGGAATTTTGTAGAATGAGGGCTTCAGTTTACTATACTCTGAATTTTTTATAATGCTTCAGTTTAGAGTATACTCGAAGATTTTTTCGAATGATGGCTTCAGTTTAATACACTCTCACATATGGATCAGAGAGAATTATTTTTATAGTGCTTCAATTTCTTTATTTTAACTCATCCATACTATGGAAGCTATACATTTATTGAGAGGTTTGATGAGAAGTTCAGAGATAATAAGGAGGATCTACATTTGGTTTTTATTGATTTAGAAAAAGCTTACAATAAGGTTTCAAAAGATATCCTTTGGAGAGTTCTTGAGAAGAAAGGTATTGATATGACTTATATTCAAGTCATTAAAGATACGTATACTAGATCTGTTACTTGCGTTCGAACTGAAGGAGGATTGACCAAATATTTTCCTACTTCTGTTGGATTAGATCAAGGATCGACTTTAAGCCCATATCTTTTTGCTTTAGTTAAGGATGGTCTTACTATACATTTGCATGAGGATGTACCTTGGTGTATGCTTTTTGTTGATGATATCCTTCTCGTGAATAAGACGAGAAAAATCATAAGAAAAACTTGAATTATGGAGGTTTACATTGGATTCTAAAGGCCTTCAATTGAGTAGAATTAAAACTAAATACATGTACTGTAATATTAGTAGTAGTAGCCCTAGTGACAAAAGTGTAACTTTGGGTGATCAAAATTATTAAAAGGTATGAATGATTTAGATATCTCTAGTCTATTGTTCAAAGCGAAGGTGATATAGAAGGCGATGTTAGTAGTAGAATTCAAGTTGGTTGGTTGAAGTGGAGAAATGCTTCAGGACTTTTGTGTGATAGAAAAGTGCCGCTTAGACTAAAAGGAAAATTTTATGAGATGGTGGTAAGACCTTCAATGCTCTATGGTGCTGAATGTTGGCCTTTAAAAGAGAAGCATAATACTAAGTTAAGTGTTGTCGAGATGAGAATGATTAGGTAGATAAGTGGCTTTACACTTAGAGACAAAATGAAAAATGATTATATCCGTGATAGGGTTGGTGTAGCTCTGATGACAAAGGCACACCGGTGGTAGAGCGGAATTATATTTCATCCTACGACACCAGGACCCAATCCTGGGACCTGATGAACCGTAGAACGATAGTATCATTCACCGACACAAGTCTAGCGGGGGACCCGTACCTTCTTAGGTTGTTGGCAGTCTTACGTCCGACGGCGTGATCCACTCGTGAACAATCATAATTTTTCAAAACTGATAAGAACAGAACAAGATAAGAGCAGATACAATATTTATAAAAAATATTTTTACTACAAAATTGATACTTCCTTAAATCCATGTGTATGCTAAAATATAAATTTTAAATGTATTGTAACTTGGTTGTCCTTTTATCGATTACCAGTACCGGGCCAAGGAGTACCCTCGTAAGTTAGGTTTAATAGGACACCCTTTCTAGTTGAGTGGCGGGCTCTATACATTCTGGTGACCGATAGTAGTTCGATAGTAGTCTTCAACGTCCCTCGAGTATAAATATATAGTATCTTATCCCCGACCCGAGTGCTTGTGGTCCCCTCTTCTCTACCTTTTTATTTTTTGTGTGATTTTATTGGAACTTTTGGTAAAGCACTCGTGGTCTTTTTCCGGAAACTTCCCGTGTCTTCGGTGACTTTTTTTTTGAATTGTCATTTGTTGTTTTTGCTTCGAGATTTCCGTCAGGAGTCATTTGTCGATTTTTTCAAGTTTTCTTTAGTGATGGGTCATTTGCCACTCTTTCTTGCATTTTCCAGATAGTATTTCTTTTGTTGATACAATGCATGTTAGCTCATTTCTTAAATTTTGTTACTATACCTACACTTGCTACTATTTCTTTTACACACTATACCTTAGAGTAGGAGGCTAGTAGTTGGTTTCATAAGAGGCACCCG